AAGGGACCTTTTAGAGATCCTCTAATCCGTCCTACCACGGGCAGGGACATCTCCCGCTTCTCCAAACCCTGTCCAACCTGGCCTGGGCCATGCCAGGGATCCAGGGGCAGCCACAGCTTCTGTGCCAGGGCCTCCCCACCCTCACTCACCCATAAAAACACAAATAACACATTCTATTAAATAACCTTACATATTAAAACCCACATTCCAAACACCCACAGCCCACATCATCCCTTAATCGTCCCCTCAGCCTGGGTGGAGAACTGGATTATTTATTTCCCTGCCCGCAGCGGCCTAGGAGCAATTGCAGAGCGACAACGATCCATCGAGGTCTCAACCCGCGCAAACTGTACCTAAACTTCCACTTTATTGCAGCTTAGTTCACAATCTTCACCTAATATAGGGTTACATCCCAGTGCAGCAGGCGGATAAATCATCCTGGAATATTACTCTGGCTAAGTTTAGCTGGGAGTGGAGCATATGTGCTTCCGAGTCACTGAAGCACAGGCCCATAAAATACACTAATTACTGGAAGTTCTGGTCACTGAGTGATTGATAGCGCTCTGCCAGGCAACTTCAGCTCGTGTGAGGGGCCTCCCCCAGCACACAGCAATTATTAATTCATGACCCAACCCTCAGGCACTGCTCCCTCCACTCCCAACCCCGCCAGCACCAGGCTGGACATTGTCCAGTGGGAGAGGAATCGGAGGGAGCGGGCACTGCTTGGAGAAATCACCCAAAATAGCTCCAGGGAAAGAGAAATAAAAATATAGGCCAGCTTTTCTTCTCTGAGAAGGAGTTTGTGAAGCACAGAACGGCCCAGACCCTGTAAATATTCCTCTCAATGGGAAGGACTGGGGTTGATGAGGGGGTTGAGCAAGTGGCAGCTCCTTGTGGTCCCTAAAACCCGGCAGCAATGCGGTGAGGCTCGCTGCAAAATCACAGCAAGAATCACTTTTTATATCCTTCCTTCCCTTAATCCTAAAGGGAAAGTGCTGCTTCTCCTCCTCTGCTGCAACCTGAGGCTGTTTCTTCCAGACCGCTACAAGAATTTGGCTGTACCACCAAGATCTGGGCTTCAGATTCTTCCTCCACCACCTCACAGAACCCTTCATGTTGGAGATGACCTTGAGGAACATCAAGTCCAGCTATTCCCACCACCAAACGCCGTCCCCAGAGCACCCCTGGTTTAGCTAAAGGCGTGACCTGATCAAAGAGCAGCCACAGATGAGAAAATCCCAAATCCTGCAGAACCTGCCTGAGATCAGCTCCCAACCCCGACCTCGAGCCGTTCCCACTGCCAAGCTGACGTCCCTGATCCCATATTTTAGACTCCTGAAAGGAGATTTGAAACCTCCCCTCCTCCAGCAGGGTCTCCAGAGCAGTTTCACGCAGTTAAACATCCTCAAGCCTGAAGTCAGATGCTTTCCTCAGAGCATCCTCTTGGAGCATCTTCCTTCTCCTCTCTGTGCCCCCAGCCCCAGTGGGATGAAGAGTCTGAGCTCCACCTTGTTTGATAAGCAACAACATCATTGTTTGTTGGATAATTCCCGATTTTCCCGTGTCTGGGAATGCACACAGCCTCTGGAAAACACCTGGTGTCTTCTCAGAGATCGCTAAGAACCCATTGAAAGCTCTTGCAGACACACAGCTACAGAGAAATCTGCTCACCAAACACTTCAACTTCTCAGCCTGGGAGCTTTAAGAACTAATATTAATCTAACATTAAAACTGATTCACAAACTTATTTTCTCTGGGGGAGACAAGAGGGATAAGCTCTGGAAGAAAATCTGATTTTCAGAGGAGAACACAGAGGACAGTGGAAAGCAGAGACCGGGATGTGATACAGAAGGAGAAGCAAAAAGCCAACTCGTGAGCTTCTACTTCCAAAATTGACTTGGCTTTGGGCATCAGCAAATTGCTTTCACTTCTTGAATTTAAATATAACACCAACTCTACCTGGAGATAAAATGATAAATATCACAGAATCCCGGGATGTCCTCGGGAAGGACCTTAAAGGTCATTTCCTGTGGGCAGGGAACCTTCCAGTACCCCAGGCTGCTCCAAACCCCTCCAACCCAACCCTGATGCCACAATTAAACCTCAACCAGATGGATTTGGATGTGGATATGACACGGATTTGATCCTCCCTTGGATGTTCTGGAGTTCACTTGCGGATAAGAGCCAGGGGAAGGTGGGATCAGAGTCACACTGGAGAGAGAAACGGGGAATATTGGGCCATTTAATTTCTCCTCCCATGCAGGACACGGCTCTTGGAGAGAGGGAATGGGTTCCAGAGCTCCCTCAGCCCCAGCCCAGCCTGGATGTGTTTTGTGACCGAGTTATAAACCCTTGAAAAACAGCTTTTAGAAATGAAAATGCTGACACAGTGTTCAGTGTAGTGACAGCAATGGCACAGGTTTAAATTGAACTCGCTTTGTCAAGCCAAGAGCACTTAAATAAAACACGGGAAAACCTCATGGAAACACACAAACTATTTGTGGTGGAACACTTTGAAACAGTTTTTCCAGGTTATGGATTAAATTCCATTCCCTTCAGAAAAATCCTGAAGGGAGAAAGGCAAACTCCAAAAAAATGAAGTAACAAAAGATATGATAAAAATGATAATAATAACAATGATAGTAATAATGATGATAATATAGCTGCGTATCTAAATCTATTATATTTCAATTGAATTTTTAATTTATTATTTTTTTTATTTCTGAGGGGATGACTGAGCACCCTCAGACCCATCCTGCCTCAAAGGGAACAGGAGGAACACTCCCCATTTCTCAAAGCTTAGGCAGGACTCCCATCCCATCCCATCCCATCCCATCCCATCCCATCCCATCCCATCCCATCCCATCCCATCCCATC